TTCTTCATGAATTTGTGGAACTTCTTGATGACGAGTCCGAACTCGTTGTCATCATCGCTTGAGTCATCTTCCACGGTCTCCTTGGTTGCTTTCAGTGCTATTCCCTTCTTCTTTTGTTCATCCAAAGACGGGGTTAGAATAGTGGATTCATAAGTTTTGAGGTTACCTCTTAGCCCGTCGATGGTGACATTGGAGACTCTGATGGATTCGTAGATTGCGTCAGCCTTTGATCTCCATTCGGGTGTGAGGCTCCGCAGGATTTTCCTCACGAGATCCTTGTTGGCGTACGTCTTCTTGAGAGCGTGAAGGTCGTTGATGATTTTCGAGAACCGATCGAACATGTCATCGATCTTTTCGCCTTCCTTCATCCTGAACATCTCGTACTCCTGCGTTAGGAAGTCAATTTTGGCTTCCCGAACTTGGTCCGTACCTTCATATGTGACCTCCAGCTTGTCCCACATTTCTTTGGCAGTGGTGCAGCAAGAGATCTTGTGATAATCATCTGGGTTGATCGCGCAGTACAACATGTTGATTGCCTTGGCTTAGTTCTCCACCTTTTTGATGTCTTCGGCATCAAATTCGTCCTCGGTCTTTGGGACGAGTTTTTCATCGACCTTCTTCATCGGAGTTTCCTCGCCATTCTTGATGACCAACCACAACTGAAAGTTGGTTGAGCGAATATAAATTCTCATCCGCTCTTTCCAATATGTGTAGTTGGTGCCATCAAAGAGCGGTGGCCTAGAGGTTGATTGACCTTCTCCAATTCCTGCATAAAGATTTCTAGAAGAAGAATCCATGATCACTTTACTCTCAAACGGTTAAGTTTGGACGCGAGTTAGGCTCTGATACCAATTGTTAGAATAATAGACCAACGCTAGAGGGGGGGTGAATAGCGTTTGATCGGAGAAATCGCAGGAATTAAAAAATTAAGAGAGAAGTAAAGAGAAGAGTAAAAGGCACACCGAATTTTACCCTGGTTCACCACAACTTGTGGCTAATCCAGCCTCCCGAGAGACTCTCTCGAGCTACACTACTAACTTGTTAAGCTTAC